GCTTAAGTAGGGGTTTTGCCAATATAACAAGGAATCCAAACGGCAGCCATAAGGAACGGTTTTCAAAGACGAATATAATCATTGATTTCCAAGTACTACCTAATAGGATGGCAACAGGTCCCATGGGGGTGGGGACTCCCTCCCAATCCTCATCCCCATCCCCATCCCCGTTCGTCAATGACGAGCATGGGGATCCCCACTAGAATTTTTTACGGAGGATCAAAAATAACCTCCATTCCCATATCCGCAGGGAATGATAGGTCCCTGCGGGGAATGATAGGTCACCGCGAATATTCGGAGTCTTCGCCAAATAAAACTCGATACTCGTTTCTCATTTGAAAAATTAACTAAAGATAAAACGAATTAAAAGCTTGAATGAGCCTCAAAATAACAATACGATTATCGTTTGCTACGACTATGAGAAAGGAGTTGCGCAGGCATGTAAACAACAAAAATCGCATTCTAACAATCTTGCGAACAATCGGAGGGAAAATGAAATCGGAAATAATAAGGCCAAAAGAATGAGATCTGCTTCACCTCAAAATAAATCATCAAGCACAAATATTCAGATACTCACAAATACTCACAACTCAGGCTCAGGCAAGCTGTAAGTAGGTAATTGAAGAATAGAAACAAAGCTATGGGCACTACTTTTTAAAGGTTGTCGAGAATGATATGTTGAAAGGAATTGACTGATTGAAGAACAGAAACAAAGCTAGTGAGCTACAGCACAGAGGAGAGGAGACTGGAATCTGGAGAGGAGGCTGAAGTCTGGAGAGGAGGAATCGCAGAGCAGGTTTGCAAATCTCATAAATTTGAAAAAAGGAAGTAGTTAATTAAGATGAAGTGGGAGAAAAGAAATCCGATGTTCTTCGGCAAGTATATTTGACAAACAAGATAAGGGAACAAGAAGAAAATAGAATACCTCGGGCCAAATTTGGACAGTTTGAAGGCTATCACTTTCTGAAGAACTGATACAGAGACCTATTTTGCCTAGCAATTAAAGATAAAAATGAAAAGAGAAAACATGTCAGCCCAAAATAAAAGAGGAATAAAATTACGTTAATAACATTATAAATAATAATAAATGAAACCAAAGTTTAAGACCAAAATTTAGAATTAACGACATAATATAAGTCAAGTTATTTAAAACATTAAAAAATAAATCTTATATTATTTAATAATTGATTCTTTTATTTTTATGATCTATAATATTACATATATCAATTAATTTAATAATGATATAAACAACGTCATTGTTTCTAAACTTTTATTCTTCCTATCATTACTCTAATTTAAGCAAATGTTTATTCAATAAAGCCGATTTTTTAAACATTTGAGAGTTTTTTTTTCCCCTTCTTCCGAAAGGTGAGTTTTTTTTTTTTTTTTCTTTTTCATCTTCAAGAAAATTGAGTCGGTTAGGCAGAAATTGAGATGGTTTAATGAAGCAACCACGAAATCAAAAAAATGCTGTAAAAAATTGCTACTTTTGCTTAAGAAATTAGACATCAATATCACTACATCATGAGCTCCTTTCTATTTGGCAACAAATGAAACTTGATACATGTCAGGTCTGGTCCCTTTTCAATAATACTTTGAAGCTTTTTTTTTTTTTAATGTTTAATTTGACCCATCATATCAAAAATAGTTTACATACCAGTTCACATAGGTCTTAATGAT